ATAACGACTACAATATACTAATTTGACTGTGAGAAGCTTTTAGGGCGGTCTTCTCAGAAGTCAGCAAGACTGTTCCAAATGGAGCCAAGTTATCAGTAGCTGTGTGAACGGTTGTTGAGGTGTGGGGCTCCAGGAGCTTCATTCCCACCACCGACACTACGGGCATCAAGGGCCCTGGTGGTCCTTGTATCAAGGTGCCTGGTGGTCCTTGTATGTAGAGGGCCTGGTGGTCCTTGTATGTAGGGGGCCTGGTGGTCCTTGTATCAAGGGGCCTGGTGGTCTATGTATCAAGGGGCCTGGTGGTCCTTGTATCAAGGGGCCTGGTGGTCTATGTATCAAGGGGCCTGGTGGCCCTTGTATCAAGGGGCGTGCATAAATAGGACCGCATCATCTGGTGTGTGAAGAAGAGGCATCGCGGGAACCTTGATAACAGTAATCTAGGCAAGAGGAACCTCTGGGAATGTTTGGTGGTCTTAACCCGCTCACAAGCACCAGCACTGGCAGCTTCACTATATTCTCAGCGGCAGCGCCCGATTGTATGTGTTTATCAACAGCGGAGAATCAATTTCAATTTCTTTATTATGCACCCCATACCCATCCCGTGAGCGGTGGTGGAAGGGGTTACAGAGGCACATAACCGGTTCAGAAACTGAACACCATATTTCATGTAGCTCATCAACGGCGAAGAGTTAGTTGTGTTGACTATAGTTGGATATCATAGCGGGGTTGATCAAGACAACGTTGGAACTCACTGGGAACCAATGGATTTACCCTACAAGAATATAACACACGAACATTCAACATATTTAATTTCCTCCTGTAAAGTTGAGGAGACTGTAATAAAATGAAGTAAAACCGTTTAGTTGCCAGATGACCGCATACTCAACCCTCTTTGTTCATTTTAGCTTACAACGAATCCTTTGTGTTTCATCCGGGTGATCTGATGGTGGACGCCTGATTGGCCCCGTCTTGGGAGGACCAGCACGGTCTTCCTGATTGCTGCTGTGTGGCGTTATCTGGGTGCTGCTGTGTGGCGTTATATGGGTGCTGCTGTGTGATGTTATCTGGGTGCCGCTGTGTGGCGTTATCTGGGTGCTGCTGTGTGGCGTTATCTAGGTGCTGCTGTGTGGGGTTATCTAGGTGCTGCTATGTGGCGTTATCTAGGTGCTGCTGTGTGGCGTTATCTGGGTGCTGCTATGTGGCGTTATCTGGGTGCTGCTGTGTGGTGTTATCTGGGTGCTGCTGTGTGGTGTTATCTGGGTGCTGCTGTGTGGTGTTATCTGGGTGCTGCTGTGTGGTGTTATCTGGGTGCTGCTGTGTGGTGTTATCTGGGTGCTGCTGTGTGGTGTTATCTGGGTGCTGCTGTGTGGTGTTATCTGGGTGCTGCTGTGTGGTGTTATCTGGGTGCTGCTGTGTGGTGTTATCTGGGTGCTGCTGTGTGGTGTTATCTGGGTGCTGCTGTGTGGTGTTATCTGGGTGCTGTTGTGTGGTGTTATCTGGGTGCTGCTGTGTGGTGTTATCTGGGTGCTGCTGTGTGGTGTTATCTGGGTGCTGCTGTGTGGTGTTATCTGGGTGCTGCTGTGTGGTGTTATCTGGGTGCTGCTCGTGTTGCCAGAGATGTGACTCTCTTGCTCAAAATTGTTTCCTTGCTGCCTTGTTCCGAGGCGAGGCTTTCTCAGGTCATACTCCAGCATATCACAATAACCTGGTATATCTATGAGAAAATCATTGAAGCGGGACGGGGCTCGAACCAGCGTCCTGGGGTTACCCTAGACGCGTATCTTAACCCCTGGACCACGACATGCTAAACGTTATTTAACCTGCGTCCGCCTGAATCCTCTAGGGGTCGAGTTAGCGCCAGTCCAAGTTTTGCAAATAATCCACATGCACTCTGGTGCACTCTAGTGCACTCTGATGCACTCTGGGGCACTCTGGGGCACTCTGATGCACTCTGGTGTGCGTTATTTCTCACCTTATGTCTTGGCTGGTTCAGTTCAGCTAAGCTGATGAGTATGCACATATTAATGATGGTGGTATGTATGCTGCGTTCTTGGCTAATATTTGGGCTGGAGGGTCTGGTGGTCTGACGGTCTTAGTGAATCTTTATCTACTAGTTGTTCCCCGGCCTCGCCTGGTCTGTGTCTTACCTGGATTGTACCTGAATGGGGTTCTGGGTATTCTTCTACTCCCCGTTGTTGTTATCTTCTTATTATTTTCTTCTTCCACTTCTACTCTTCTACTTCTACTCTTCTACTTCTTCGGCCCGGTGCCAGGCTTGACTTTTGTGACTTGTACCCAGTCTTGGGGTACCGTTGAGGTCGCTGGGTAACTCCTTCCCCAGGGTTCAGGACTTGTGGCCTTGTCCTCTCAAGGATCCGTCCCTCCGACTGTAATCTTTGATTAATGTTTACCTCCGAGGCATGGTTGGGGGTATCCACCGAGGCATGGTTGGGGGTATCCACCGAGGCATGGTTGGGGGTATCCACCGAGGCATGGTTGGGGGTATCCACCGAGGCATGGTTGGGGGTATCCACCGAGGCATGGTTGGGGGTAACCTCCGAGGCATGGTTGGGGGTAACCTCCGAGGCATGGTTGGGGGTATCCACCGAGGCATGGTTGGGGGTATCCACCGAGAAACAACTAAGGGGCTAACCTGTAACCGTAGTTCAAGGGTTGACTACATTCCATTTTCTGGTCTCAGAAGCGCAGTTTACTCGCCCTCCTTTGCTCCATTCTGTGAGGACTGCGAGCGTCTGAGGGCACCACATAAGAGGAAGAACGCAGGGTGACCCCCTGGGTGACCCCCTGGGTGACCCCCTGGGTGACCCCCTGGGTGACCCCCTGGGTGACCTCCTAGGTGACCCCCTGGGTGACCCCCTGAGTGACCTCCTAGGTGACCCCCTGGGTGACCCCCTAGGTGACCCCCTGGGTGACCCCCTGGGTGACCCCCTGGGTGACCCCCTGGGTGACCTCCTAGGTGACCCCCTGGGTGACCCCCTGAGTGACCTCCTAGGTGACCCCCTGGGTGACCCCCTGGGTGACCTCCTAGGTGACCCCCTGGGTGACCCCCTGGGTGACCTCCTAGGTGACCCCCTGGGTGACCCCCTGGGTGACCCCCTGAGTGACCTCCTAGGTGACCCCCTAGGAGGTCACCTAGGTGACCCCCAAGTGACCCTGTGGGTGACCCGAGCTGTGTCTGGTGGTCAGCTGTTCACCTAGCAGTAAATAGGTTCCCTGAAGTTGGGCTTCTATTGTGGGCTTGCACCCTTGGGGTATTTATCAGAAGAAATCGCCACGCCATTACGACTATATAGCACATGTAAGGGAAAAGGATTTAGGATAGGACGGAGGGAAGGAATGGTTCCTTCTAGATATTTCATTTGGACGGTCGGGGGGATTGAACGCCGGCCAGCAAGAAGCGAGACGGTCGCTCTACCGTCCAGCCCAAGTGGTTGGGCAGGGTAGATGGGAGTGAATGTTTGGAATATAAGGAGTCCTGGAGCGTGACATGAAGTACTCGCCTGGATGTACTTGTCTAAATGTGTCTTAAGTGTTGAGAAATAGCTCCCTGGCCCCGCCTCTCCGTCTTCTGGCCAGTTAACACGCTGGCTTTTATTACTCATGTTTTTACATTGGTGAGTGTTAGGCTGAATGTGCGTATGAGAGAGAGAGAGAGGGGGGGGGAGGGAGGGAGGGGTGAGGACTGTGAAGGGTTAATTGACTGATCAACAGGATGATACAGCTCCCATAGTGTCCAACGGTGCTGGTGACTCGGGTCCTCCACCTGTTGACGCCCCCCAGGTACTCTTTACCGTTACCTGTTTAGGCGTCCGTCGCCGCATGTTACTGTTGACGGACACCCTCACGGAAGGTCACAGGTAAACTGTCATATTTACATAGGTAATGATGTCATTGTTGAGTGTCCCAATTGTGGCCAGCAGCATCCGGTTGGCGGATGACATCATCCTCCACGCTTACATAGCCTCACACACATTCTTACATAACCCACACATTCTTCTATGGCCCCACACATTCCTTCAGTCACACACGTCCATACATAACCACACATGTGGCAAAGATTAAGCAAGAACGAGGAAGGTGGGCAGACTGTATTTTCTTGGACTGTCGGAAAGCCTTTGACACAGTACCCCATAAGAGGCTGGTGCATAAGTTGGAGAAGCAGGCAAGAGTAAATAGTAGAGTGCTCTAGTGGACAAGAGATCTAAGCAATAGGAAGTAGAGTGTTACTGGATGGGTGAGACATCAAAATGGCATTAAGTCACCAACGGAGTCCCACAGGATTCTGTACTCGGACCTATCCTTTTTCTGATATACCTAAATGATCTTCCAAAAGGTATAGACTCATCTCAATGTTTGCTGATGATGCTAAAAATTGTGAGGAGGATTAAGACAGGAGGAGGACAGCTTGTATACCACATGTCAGACCAATCCTGGAGTATGCAGATCCGACATGGAGTCCGCATCTCATCAAGCACAAGACTAAATTGAAGAAGGTTCAGAGAATGCAACCAGACTAGTACCCGAGCTAAGGGGTATGAACTATGAGGAGAAACTACGGGGACTAAATTTCATGTCGTTGGAAGACAGAAGAATTAGGAGAGACATAATCAACAAATACAAGATTCTCAGAGGAATTGATAGGGTAAAGACAGTTTATTTAACACAGGGGGGGGGCACACACTAGAGAACGCAAGTGGAAACTTAGTGCCCAAATGGGTCGCAGAGACATTAGAAAGAACTTTTTTAGTGTCAGAGTAGGTAGTAAATTGAATGCATTAGGAAGTGATGTGGTGGAGGCTGAATCCATACACAGTTTCAAATGTAGATATGATAGAGCCCAGTAGGCTCGGGAATCAGTACACCACTTGATTGACGGTTGAGAGGCGGGACCAAAAAGCCGAAGTTCAACTAGGTGAGTGTTGTGTACTCACCTAGTGAGTACACAACAGGATGACATAATCCTGACGTAATATACTGACCTTAAAGCTTGGGTCAGAGGCGTAAGCATCTAACGCCCGGTAGGTGGACGTCGACACTGACGACGCTGACGAAATATTGGAGTCATTGCTGACGCCGCTGTCCTCGCTGATGTCCGAGGCCAGGGACTCCGTGTCCGAGCGGTCCGTGGCCGCCTCACTGTCGGTACACACAAATGGGCTACTTAGCTTGATCAATATCTATAAAGGTAATGAGAGGCAGAAACTCGTGCAGGATAAAGAGCGTCTCACCGGCCTGAGTCTTGGTTCTTGTTAGGCGTTTGACGCGTTGATGAGACACTTGGAGTGTGTTCATCAGCCGTCACCACACCTGACTAACCGAGCACCAAAAGTAGACTTTAGTCCTGAGTGTAGTCCAGGACTAAGGTAAACTCTCGCTGTATACACCGAGAAATGGAAAGTTTACCATCCGGCAGTGTGTGTTCGTGAGGTCAGGCTGGCCGTCGCCTTCGTAGCTAAAGTATTAGCGAGCCACATATAACCGTGTCTTGTGCTTGCATTCACTATCATACATTATCATATTATTATTGCCTCGTGGCCCAGTTCATCGCGTGTCGGCCCGGAGGAAACAAGTAAAAAAGTTATTGATATTAAAAATAACTTTAAGAGTATCACTCGGTCATTAATAATATCGATATCAAGCCCTGTGTTGTGTTTTAAATGTTACTGTAGACAAATGACCGCAATTTAAGGACAAAATTTAACATGTTCCACAATTCTTGAGCGATATATAGGCCCACGGGATGGGTATGGGGTGCATAATAAAGAAATAAATTGAATTGATTTGACTAATATATATATATATATATATATATATATATATATATATATATATATATATATATATATATATATATATATATATATATATATACTACATCAACTATATTCTACAACGCTACATCAGCCATATATATATAAATATATATATATATATATATATATATATATATATATATATATATATATATATATATATATATATATATATATATATATATATATATATATATATATATATATATATATATATATATATATATATATATATATATATATATATATATATATATATATATATATATATATAATATATATATATATATATATATATATATATATATATATATATATATATATATATATATATATATATATATATATATATATATATATATATATATATATATATATATATATATATATATATATATATATATATATATATATATATATATATATATATATATATATATATATATATATATATATATATATATATATCCCACCGCCGGCACTCGGATAGTAATCTTGGGCATAGCATTTTCCAAATCACCTCATTCTTTGGGGCACACGTGAGGAACACAAATGCGAACAAGCCTGAATGGTCCCCAGGACAATATGCAACTGAAAACTCACACCCAGAAGTGACTCGAACCCATACTCCCAGAAGCAACGCAACTGGTATGTACAAGACGCCTTAATCCACTTGACCATCACGACCGGACATAATGAGGTGACAGCCGAGGCTATTTGAACCACCCCACCGCCGGCACTCGGATAGTAATCTTGGGCATAGCATTTTACCAAATCACCTCATTCTTTGGGGCACACGTGAGGAACACAAATGCGAACAAGCCTGAATGGTCCCCAGGACAATATGCAACTGAAAACTCACACCCCAGAAGTGACTCGAACCCATACTCCCAGAAGCAACGCAACTGGTATGTACAAGACGCCTTAATCCACTTGACCATCACGACCGGACATAATGAGGTGATAGCCGAGGCTATTTGAACCACCCCACCGCCGGCACTCGGATAGTAATCTTGGGCATAGCATTTTACCAAATCACCTCATTCTTTGGGGCACACGTGAGGAACACAAATGCGAACAAGCCTGAATGGTCCCCAGGACAATATGCAACTGAAAACTCACACCCCAGAAGTGACTCGAACCCATACTCCCAGAAGCAACGCAACTGGTATGTACAAGACGCCTTAATCCACTTGACCATCACGACCGGACATAATGAGGTGATAGCCGAGGCTATTTGAACCACCCCACCGCCGGCACTCGGATAGTAATCTTGGGCATAGCTATTTTCCTAATCACCTCATTCTTTGGGGCACACGTGAGGAACACAAATGCGAACAAGCCTGAATGGTCCCCAGGACAATATGCAACTGAAAACTCACACCCCAGAAGTGACTCGAACCCATACTCCCAGAAGCAACGCAACTGGTATGTACAAGACGCCTTAATCCACTTGACCATCACGACCGGACATAATGAGGTGATAGCCGAGGCTATTTGAACCACCCCACCGCCGGCACTCGGATAGTAATCTTGGGCATAGCATTTTACCAAATCGTTGCGTTCCTCACGTGTGCCCCAAAGAATGAGGTGATTTGGTAAAATGCTATGCCCAAGATTACTATCCGAGTGCCGGCGGTGGGGTGGTTCAAATAGCCTCGGCTATCACCTCATTATGTCCGGTCGTGATGGTCAAGTGGATTAAGGCGTCTTGTACATACCAGTTGCGTTGCTTCTGGGAGTATGGGTTCGAGTCACTTCTGGGGTGTGAGTTTTCAGTTGCATATTGTCCTGGGGACCATTCAGGCTTGTTCGCATTTGTGTTCCTCACGTGTGCCCCAAAGAATGAGGTGATTTGGTAAAATGCTATGCCCAAGATTACTATCCGAGTGCCGGCGGTGGGGTGGTTCAAATAGCCTCGGCTATCACCTCATTATGTCCGGTCGTGATGGTCAAGTGGATTAAGGCGTCTTGTACATACCAGTTGCGTTGCTTCTGGGAGTATGGGTTCGAGTCACTTCTGGGGTGTGAGTTTTCAGTTGCATATTGTCCTGGGGACCATTCAGGCTTGTTCGCATTTGTGTTCCTCACGTGTGCCCCAAAGAATGAGGTGATTTGGTAAAATGCTATGCCCAAGATTACTATCCGAGTGCCGGCGGTGGGGTGGTTCAAATAGCCTCGGCTATCACCTCATTATGTCCGGTCGTGATGGTCAAGTGGATTAAGGCGTCTTGTACATACCAGTTGCGTTGCTTCTGGGAGTATGGGTTCGAGTCACTTCTGGGGTGTGAGTTTTCAGTTGCATATTGTCCTGGGGACCATTCAGGCTTGTTCGCATTTGTGTTCCTCACGTGTGCCCCAAAGAATGAGGTGATTTGGTAAAATGCTATGCCCAAGATTACTATCCGAGTGCCGGCGGTGGGGTGGTTCAAATAGCCTCGGCTATCACCTCATTATGTCCGGTCGTGATGGTCAAGTGGATTAAGGCGTCTTGTACATACCAGTTGCGTTGCTTCTGGGAGTATGGGTTCGAGTCACTTCTGGGGTGTGAGTTTTCAGTTGCATATTGTCCTGGGGACCATTCAGGCTTGTTCGCATTTGTGTTCCTCACGTGTGCCCCAAAGAATGAGGTGATTTGGTAAAATGCTATGCCCAAGATTACTATCCGAGTGCCGGCGGTGGGGTGGTTCAAATAGCCTCGGCTATCACCTCATTATGTCCGGTCGTGATGGTCAAGTGGATTAAGGCGTCTTGTACATACCAGTTGCGTTGCTTCTGGGAGTATGGGTTCGAGTCACTTCTGGGGTGTGAGTTTTCAGTTGCATATTGTCCTGGGGACCATTCAGGCTTGTTCGCATTTGTGTTCCTCACGTGTGCCCCAAAGAATGAGGTGATTTGGTAAAATGCTATGCCCAAGATTACTATCCGAGTGCCGGCGGTGGGGTGGTTCAAATAGCCTCGGCTGTCACCTCATTATGTCCGGTCGTGATGGTCAAGTGGATTAAGGCGTCTTGTACATACCAGTTGCGTTGCTTCTGGGAGTATGGGTTCGAGTCACTTCTGGGGTGTGAGTTTTCAGTTGCATATTGTCCTGGGGACCATTCAGGCTTGTTCGCATTTGTGTTCCTCACGTGTGCCCCAAAGAATGAGGTGATTTGGTAAAATGCTATGCCCAAGATTACTATCCGAGTGCCGGCGGTGGGGTGGTTCAAATAGCCTCGGCTATCACCTCATTATGTCCGGTCGTGATGGTCAAGTGGATTAAGGCGTCTTGTACATACCAGTTGCGTTGCTTCTGGGAGTATGGGTTCGAGTCACTTCTGGGGTGTGAGTTTTCAGTTGCATATTGTCCTGGGGACCATTCAGGCTTGTTCGCATTTGTGTTCCTCACGTGTGCCCCAAAGAATGAGGTGATTTGGTAAAATGCTATGCCCAAGATTACTATCCGAGTGCCGGCGGTGGGGTGGTTCAAATAGCCTCGGCTATCACCTCATTATGTCCGGTCGTGATGGTCAAGTGGATTAAGGCGTCTTGTACATACCAGTTGCGTTGCTTCTGGGAGTATGGGTTCGAGTCACTTCTGGGGTGTGAGTTTTCAGTTGCATATTGTCCTGGGGACCATTCAGGCTTGTTCGCATTTGTGTTCCTCACGTGTGCCCCAAAGAATGAGGTGATTTGGTAAAATGCTATGCCCAAGATTACTATCCGAGTGCCGGCGGTGGGGTGGTTCAAATAGCCTCGGCTATCACCTCATTATGTCCGGTCGTGATGGTCAAGTGGATTAAGGCGTCTTGTACATACCAGTTGCGTTGCTTCTGGGAGTATGGGTTCGAGTCACTTCTGGGGTGTGAGTTTTCAGTTGCATATTGTCCTGGGGACCATTCAGGCTTGTTCGCATTTGTGTTCCTCACGTGTGCCCCAAAGAATGAGGTGATTTGGTAAAATGCTATGCCCAAGATTACTATCCGAGTGCCGGCGGTGGGGTGGTTCAAATAGCCTCGGCTATCACCTCATTATGTCCGGTCGTGATGGTCAAGTGGATTAAGGCGTCTTGTACATACCAGTTGCGTTGCTTCTGGGAGTATGGGTTCGAGTCACTTCTGGGGTGTGAGTTTTCAGTTGCATATTGTCCTGGGGACCATTCAGGCTTGTTCGCATTTGTGTTCCTCACGTGTGCCCCAAAGAATGAGGTGATTTGGTAAAATGCTATGCCCAAGATTACTATCCGAGTGCCGGCGGTGGGGTGGTTCAAATAGCCTCGGCTATCACCTCATTATGTCCGGTCGTGATGGTCAAGTGGATTAAGGCGTCTTGTACATACCAGTTGCGTTGCTTCTGGGAGTATGGGTTCGAGTCACTTCTGGGGTGTGAGTTTTCAGTTGCATATTGTCCTGGGGACCATTCAGGCTTGTTTGCATTTGTGTTCCTCACGTGTGCCCCAAAGAATGAGGTGATTTGGTAAAATGCTATGCCCAAGATTACTATCCGAGTGCCGGCGGTGGGGTGGTTCAAATAGCCTCGGCTATCACCTCATTATGTCCGGTCGTGATGGTCAAGTGGATTAAGGCGTCTTGTACATACCAGTTGCGTTGCTTCTGGGAGTATGGGTTCGAGTCACTTCTGGGGTGTGAGTTTTCAGTTGCATATTGTCCTGGGGACCATTCAGGCTTGTTCGCATATATATATATATATATATATATATATATATATATATATATATATATATATATATATATATATGTCGTACCTAGTAGCCAGAACGCACTTCTCGGCCTACTATGCAAGGCCCGATTTGCCTAATAAGCCAAGTTTTCCAGAATTAATATATTTTCTCAATTTTTTTTCTGTTGAAATGATAAAGCTACCCATTTCATTATGTATGAGGTCAATTTTTTTTATTGGAGTTAAAATTAACGTAGATATATGACCAAACCTAACCAACCTTACCTAACCTAACATATCTTTATAGGTTAGGTTAGGTTAGGTAGCCAAAAAAGTTAGGTTAGGTTAGGTAGGTTAGGTAGTCGAAAAACAAATAATTCAATAAAACTTGGCTTATTAGGCAAATTGGGCCTTGTATAGTAGGCTGAGAAGTGCATTCTGGCTACTAGGTACGACATATATATAATATATATATATATATAATATTATATTATATTTAAGTATATATGGTTGATATAGTGTTGTGTTGACATTTGAAAGGGATTTTGACAATTACCTCAAGTGATGCGACTTGTCCTTGACGAGCTGGCTTTTATAGTTGTGACTGGTTGACTTGTGGTTTAGCTTGTGGTTAGCGTTTGTGCCTTGTTGACTGGTGTTGGTGGGATCGGTGGCACGCCCCTGGAACGTTCTCGGGTCCTCCATCAGCGCCTTCTTCACGTTAAACCCGCGGACGGTGGGTTTCCTGAGGGCGACGGGCTGGCACCCCTGGGTGCTCACTGGCTCCTGCTTCACTGACTTGCGTAATGGTTTCTCTTGCTTCGAAGACTCTTTAGGGAACGTTGAAGACTGGAAGTCACCTTTGGTGGACCTAGGGTTGGATGCGGGCGAGACGAGAGGACTGGTGTGGTGACTGAGGGAGCGAGGGAGGGTGAAGGAGGAACCGATCCTCAAGCAGCGGCTGGTGGCCAACTCACTGCTGTCGCTCCGGTCAAATCTGAGGATCTTGCTGGATGGGTTGGACTTGATGTCCCGGAAACGACCTGTCGCAGAGGGAGAGGCAGAGCATCAATACTGTTTGCTCTATTGGTAGGGCATAATTTGTGTGTGTAACAATTTGGGGGAATTCACCTGATTGATGTACTGCACACCTGTGAATTCACCTAGTTGTGCTTGCGGGGGTTGAGCTCTGCTCTTTCGGCCCACCTCTCAACTGTCAATCAACTGTTACTAACTACTATCTTCCCCCCCCCCACACACACACACAAACACCGCCAGGAAGCAGCTCTGTAGCAGCTGTCTAACTCCAAGATACCTTTTTACTGCTAGGTAACAGGCGCATCAAGGTAAAAGAAACTGCCCATTGATTCTCGCCGGCGCCGGGAATCGAACACGGGCCACAGGATTACGTGTCCAGCGTGCTATCCACACAGCTACCGGCGCCCCAGACCCCAGTGTGTGTGTGTGTGTGTGTGTGTGTGTGTGTGTGTGTGTGTGTGTGTGTGTGTGTGTGTGTGTATTTGTGTTTATTTACCTGAGTGTAGTTACAGAATGAGAGCAACGTTCATGGTGTCCCGTCTTCCCAGCACTCTTTGTCATATAACGCTTTCAAACTACTGACGGTTTTGGCCCCTACCACCACCTCACTTGACCTGTTCATACCGTCAACTACTCTGCAAAACCTTCTAATGTATTTTGTCGACACCTTTGTTTCCTGAGCTTGAACCTTATAAATAAACCTTTCCTAAATTCTGCCCGACAGGCTCCCCTGGGGTAGTGAAGGTCACCCTCCCAGGTGCCTGGAGGTCACCCACCCAGGTGCCTGGAGGTCACCTACCCAGGTGCCTGGAGGTCACCCACCCAGGTGCCTGGAGGTCACCCTCCCAGGTGCCTGGAGGTCACCTACCCAGGTGCCTGGAGGTCACCCACCCAGGTGCCTGGAGGTCACCCTCCCAGGTGCCTGGAGGTCACCCTCCCAGGTGCCTGGAGGTCACCCACCCAGGTGCCTGGAGGTCACCTACCCAGGTGCCTGGAGGTCACCTACCCAGGTGCCTGGAGGTCACCTACCCAGGTGCCTGGAGGTCACCCACCCAGGTGCCTGGAGGTCACCCACCCAAGAGCCTGGAGGTCACCCACCCAGGTGCCTGGAGGTCACCTACCCAGGTGCCTGGAGGTCACCTACCCAGGTGCCTGGAGGTTACCTACCCAGGTGCCTGGAGGTCACCTACCCAGGTGCCTGGAGGTCACCCACCCAGATGCCTGGAGGTCACCTACCCAGGTGCCTGGAGGTCACCTACCCAGGTGCCTGGAGGTCACCTACCCAGGTGCCTGGAGGTCACCCACCCAGGTGCCTGGAGGTCACCCACCCAGGAGCCTGGAGGTCACCCACCCAGGTGCCTGGAGGTCACCTACCCAGGTGCCTGGAGGTCACCTACCCAGGTGCCTGGAGGTCACCTACCCAGGTGCCTGGAGGTCACCCACCCAGGTGCCTGGAGGTCACCCACCCAGGTGCCTGGAGGTCACCTACCCAGGTGCCTGGAGGTCACCCACCCAGGTGCCTGGAGGTCACCCACCCAGGTGCCTGGTGGTCACCCACCCAGGAGCCTGGAGGTCACCCACCCAGGTGCCTGGAGGTCACCCACCCAGGTGCCTGGAGGTCACCCACCCAGGTGCCTGGAGGTCACCCACCCAGGTGCCTGGAGGTCACCCACCCAGGTGCCTGGAGGTCACCTACCCAGGTGCCTGGAGGTCACCCACCCAGGTGCCTGAAAGGTCACCTACCCAGGTGCCTGGAGGTCACCTACCCAGGAGAGTGCAGGAGGGTAGAGGGAAAGCACCTTACCAAGGTCCCGCCAGACGCGGAAGTGATGGACTGGAGTGTTGAGGTCCTCAAAGAGCTGCTTGACGCTGCGGACGGTGTGAGGCCTCGGCAGCTCCTCCAGCTGCACCTCCTTGTTGCGGATAGTGTAGGCGGCCCGCTTCAGCTGCAGCTCTTCCTCCGCCGAGTCCACCGCCTCCTGCCGGGTCAACAATGTATTAATCAACTTTTTTTACATAATGGCGTGATGGTCAGAATATCTGCACGGGCGCGTCTTCAAGGAAAAGGGCCACGGAAACGCGGAGTTGATCATTCTACAGTGCTGAGTCGAAAATAATTGTGTTTCTTATTTGTGCCTGCAGGATCTGTTAGCTCTTGTGCACTGTCTTTATATACGTCGGTTGACTAATGTACTGATTCCCGACCTGTGTGTGTGTGTGTACTCACCTAGTTATACTCACCTAGTTGTGCTTGTGGGTGGTTGAGCTCTGGCTCATTCGGTCCGCCTCTCAACTGTCAATCAATTAACTAATTTTGTAGTTTCCCACACAAAAAAGTGAAAACAAACACACACACACACACACACCACACGTGTGTGTGGTGTGTGTACTCACCTATTTGTCTACTGGATCGAACTACAGCTCTTAAGCCCCTCCCTTCCGGCTGCCGGGTGTCTAAATCAATGACACCTGATCTATTTTGCTATCAAGTCAACTAGAAAAAATAGTAGTTCGCTTCGACGATTTGATAATTTAATTAATTTAATTTTTAACTATTGTCCTAAAAGAACATTTTATAATGCCTTATCTGTTTCTCAAGCTTCTATCAATGACCTCTTATTCTATTGTATTCATTGTGAATATCTCAATTTTTTTCACTTTGACAATCTCCCTAAGTATATTATGCGAATTGTATCATCCCTCTATCACTCTTCTAGTGGCGTTAGGTCCAGCTCTCTCAGTCTCTAAACTCAAGCCTTCGCAATTCTAGAACAAGTCTCGTTGCAAATCTCTCTTCCTGTTCGTTTTTTTTTTGTATGTGCGTTTTGTGGTGGGGGCCTCGACGATGCTGCTGCTGCATGCTAAATAACTGGTATCTTGTAGGTGATGTAGAGTGATACAAATGCCTCCTTATAATTGGTTCTTAAATGATGTTATGACTTTTCCAAGTATGCCGTTGATGTTATGCCATTTAGATGTGTTTCCAGAGCTCGGCTTGGCTTCCCAATGTTTTGTGTGTTTTCGTTACTGGGAAGTAGCTTCCCTTAATAATAATCCGTCCTTCTAATATCTTGTTACCTGATGAGATTGTCATCACCTTGCACTTGCCGATAGTGAACCCGAGAAATCGTTTCTCACACCAACTCTGCCGCTTGTCTAATTCTTCTTGGAGAATCTTACAATCCTCATATGTCTCTCATTCTTCTCATTAGTTTTGTATCGGCTGCAAACATCGGCAGATAGGACTCATCTCCTGTAATTGGGTCACTAACAAAAATTTAAAAAAATAGTATTGGTCCCAGTAAGGATCCTTGAGGCACTTCGCTTGCAACCCTACGCCAGTCCGACTTCTAGCCTCTTATCATTAACAATGCTCCTTATTTACTTCCTTCTGCCTGTTTCTCAAGTTTGTGTAAAAATATCTTGAAGTACTATGCCAAAGAATCTTTGACAGTCCAGAAATCCTCACTCTGATCCACCTTCTCAGTCCTGTCCTATTTTCGTTAGTTTATCATTTAACTGAAGGAGGTTCGTTAGCCATATTTCCCCAGACGCGGAGTCCGTTGGTGTTTGTTTACAGACCTAATCATGTCTAGGTGCTTAGCTGGTCTTATCCTAATCATTTTTTCGACTACTTTGCAAAGGATGCTTGTCAGAGATGCTGATCTGAAGTTAAGTGCCTCCTGCTTAATCTCTTTCTGTTACATATATTGGTTACACGTTCGCTATCTTCCAGCAGCTGCGGAAACGTCCTTCACGAGGAAATCTGTGTAGACCAAAGCTGGATGTGTTCGGAGTTCATCAATACATTCTCTGTTCAACTCGTCCGCTTGAGTAATACGTCTCACTTCGGCCGTTATGGTCCCCAACATGTTACACAAGTGCTGTGACAAGTAGCGGCTCACACATATCCGCGTGTTCACTGCATCGGAAGGTTACGTTAGGTGGGTGGCTTGGGTTCGTATGACTCTGCTTAGATTAGCACTTTGTATTTTGAACGTTGTGGCCAGTCAGGAGACCCGGGCTGGTGTGTTGTATTAGTTACCTTGTAGTTCGGTGCTTGCTTGGTCGTGGAGATACACAGTAGTTCACTTCAGTAGTTTATCGATAAGAGGTACTTAAGATATATGCAGCACGCCAAGGTCACGAGGTCCTACTCTTGTCTGAGGTCTGAAATAACTGACGGCCTAGTTCAGAGCGGCCACTGCCTGCTCTGTGGGATGACGTCATGGCCCTACTCGCCTCTGTGATTGGCTATACCAACCGTCATGTAAATTAAAGGCTAAGAATTGGAGTCTTGGTGTTCCTACACGTGTCTTCCGTAGTGACTGTGCCAGGACCCACTTCCTTATCTTACGGGCTATTGTGTTCTTCTTTAAAAATAATCTTTCCTGCCTCTACTCTTCACAGACGCTGTCTTATCGACGCGGCTCTGACACACAACCTTCCCAACATGACCCTGAGTCCTGGCTGTGGTGCTGTTGATTCTTCCCTTTGACAGTACATACTCAACTGTTCTAAACTTTCTAACAAATGTGACCTAACATAAGCCTAACCTTCCTTTTCTCTCTCTCTCTCTCTCTTTTACTTTCTCTTTCGTTCCCAATTCCTCCTTTTATTGCCCCTCTTCGTACCGTTTGTTACCCTTATCTTTCGTCTTCCTTGTACCTTCCTCCAAGATTTCCTCTTCCTTACCTCTTTCTTGCCTTACTTATGGCCGCGCCTTTCTCGTCTCATCACAATCAACTTGATAATGGTCCATGACGGACCCAAACGTCGTCGTCCCCTTCATCTTCTGGTGTGTGGTCTGGTCTGGTCAACGTTCCTCAGACACGTCATTATGACTCAACATCTGCATACGGGCTATTCATGCCCGTGCAAACCTCTTGGGTGACTTAATCTTCATCAACCAATCAATCTTCCTTTTCCCTTCTGCTGTCAGTCCCAGTCACACAGTCTGTGCCTCCACTCATCTTCCCGTCATCAACTTCCTCAAACATTCAATTTTTTTTTACCATTGTGCCTCACACTCATCCTCACTCATCAGGCTCATCAACCCCCCCCCCCCACTGACTCATCGCTAGGACTCAACACGTCGTCACCGCAACACGCCACCAGCGGCCTCATTCCCATTCTCCGCCTTGGGTGTGAAAATTCTTATATTCTCGTCAGCGGTGGCGTGCTGGCCTGGCGTGCCGGCCCGGCGTGCTGGCCTGGCGTGCCGGCCCGGCGTGCTAGGGCCACGGAAAGCCTGGACTCTTCAGCCCAACAAGACCCGGAGACACGTACAGTCTTTCCCCGGCTCCCAGACGTGCCTCGCGCCGCTCTGGTTATTGGATGTCATTTGCGCCGACGACACCCTAGGGCAGGCGGCCCCGTGTCCCCCTGCGTCGACGACAGGGACACCCACACCCACACGCACGGGTGAACAGGGACACAAGGGGACACGCGAGGACGCACGGGGCCACGTCACACGAGACAATGTTTATTACTACACTGCAGGACTACTAATAAAATGCTAGACAGAATTGTCTCATTTCCACACACACACACATACACACATACACACACGCACACACACACGCACACGCACACGCACACACACACACACACACACACACACACACACACACACACACACACACACACACACACACACACACACTCTGTGGAAACCAAAAACTTGTGGCAGATAGATTTGGAAAAAATGAGAGTAAATTGGGAGAACAAAATACAGGGACCAGCTACAAAATGAGAACAAAAAAATAAGAATAGTGGCAGCCGACATCAGCTAAACCGAATTAAAGGAGGCCGAGATAAATGGTGGCCTGCGTCAAGAGAGGCTACAGCAACCATTGAGGCTACATTCGAATATTTGAACATTGTGAATGGCCCAAGCAGTCAAAAGCAGGAATGTGGCGGGAAAAAAAATTATGGATGATGTCCTCTGAACAGCTAATTCAGTCACTGAAAGAACAGAGTAGGAGAATATTTACATGTCTGAGAACGATAATCATTCAGGGACTATCTGAGTAACAACTGCAGAAAACAAGGCAGATTGTAGGAAGTTGGAGAGAGAGAGAATCTGCCGTAGAGGCAGAACCTTAGAGAAGTTGAGAAATGAGTCCCATACAGCACATGATTGTCCTAGAGTTTATTGGGGAAGTATGGTTAAGGTGTCAGTGAATAGCTGACAAATACAGAATTTGATGTGTGTGTGTGTGTGTGTGTGTGTGTGTGTGGATTTATAAAAAGGGACGAAGATAACTCTTACTGTCAGTCACTCCCGGGTTCCTCACCCACCGCCTCCACCACCAGTACTCACTGCTATCAGTTATGAATCACGTCATGTACGCAAACTCTAAACTTATTCAATTAGGATCGAAAATTAAGATTGTAAGTTTTTGGCGTCCTGTGCAGCCATGATGACGCGAGAGTCATGATTAGTAGTCACAGTTGTGCACAGTACCCGGACGATTGTCATGGAAGTGAGCCGTCTGGACAGTACTGCACGACTGTCATTGTGCCGTGGACGGCGCCGCATCACACTTCTGCTCAAGCGTTTGGTGTTCTATCTTGGGAGGACTGGTGAGGACCAGTGTTTGTTTCTGTTTATGTGTGGGTGGATGTGTGTGGATGGATATGTGGTGGTGTGTGTATGTGTAGTGGTGGTGTATGTGGGGGTATGTGTGTGTGTGTGTATTTAACAAAGAGGTTTGCTACTTTCACCTACGATCGACCAATCTGATGTTAAGTATTAACCAGGAAATTACTGCATTAGAATAATCACGGTTTAGCATTTCAATATCTTCAGTGACCTACACACACACACACACACATTGAGTTTATTATTAATTTGATATTAAATCTTACAAACATAGTAGCATACACACATGCATGATGAGGGTGTGGTGCGTCCTGACACCTGTGTGTGCTCACCTGTGCTGGCGAAGGCCTCCTGACACCTGTGTATGCTCACCTGTGCTGGCGAAGGCCTCCTGGCTGACACTGGCGGCGTTGTCTCCACAATCACGACCTTGTTGTTCTCCAAGACGTCGTTGGCACTGTACTCCTGCAGGTACTTGGCCGCCGTCTCCACCGGCTCCTTGCCTCCTTCCCTCACTCGGTCCTCAAACAACTGCTTGGTAGTCTTTGTGCTGGGAGGCAGGTCGACGTCCCCTTCAGAACTCATGTTTGCTGCTTCTTTGGTGATGGCGTCAGCGCATTCATCGGTGTTAGTGTCATCGTTGGTCCACACGATGGCTTCAGTGGCCGGACTTGTTGGTCTGGTGACTGCCTCAGTGTTCGGACTTATTGGTCTGGTGTCTGCTTCAGTGTCCGGACTTGTTGGTCTGGTTTCTGCTTCAGTGTCCGGACTTGTTGGTCCGGCGTCTGTTTTAGTGTCCGGACTTGTTGTTGTTGTGTCTGCTTTAGTGTCGGCGAACTCGGGAGTGTCGACATGACCAGGTGAAGAAATTTCAGAAATCTGCTCGTGTTGGTCAAGTGTGTCGTCGTCAGACTCCGTCGCGGTGTCTTGGTCGTGCACGTCGTCTGAGGACTGGTCAGCGTCTGTGCGATCTTCGATACTTGAGTGGTCCTCAAGCACCGGATCGTCTTCGTTGGAGTGGTATTCGATCCCAGAATCTTCAGAGTCACAGTGTGATTGGCTACTCTCAAGAATTCGGCGCCTGCTGATTGGCCTATTAAGGGTGACGTAGTTACTGCTGGGGGTTGATAACTCATCATCATCGTCCCACTCTGAACAGCATGAATCCATATCACTGTTAAAAAGAAAGTTTGCAATTAATATAATTATCGTGCTAGCGAGCTTGAAATATCAATTTGGTGTGGGGGCGTTAGGCCGCGGGTAGCCGCTCTGCCCCCAGGGACGACTCTTGTTAAAGGGGTCGTGCCGATGCCCTCACCCGCACCTCGTTCTATGCGCTAATCGCTCCGGATTCATTTGCATTTCATGCCAATGAATCGCCCCAGCTTGAGCTGTCCGTACCTTTATTTGAAGTCAAATAAGGACAGTGAATGTCAATATGACATGGAAAGTAAAATTTTGGGGAAGTCTGGGATTCTGAGTTGCTGATGTTTATAACGTGAGAACAGTGTGTTGATGGCGGACGGTGGTGGTAGCAAGGAGTTGGTGTGTTGTTGCGATTGTGGTAGTGTAGGTGGTGGTAGATGTGTGACTGGTGGTAGTACAGAGAGTGGTGCTGGTGATCGACTGGTCGTCCTGTTGAGCGAGTGTCTGTAGTCACGACACTCACGTGAAGTGTCGTGTTAGGGGCCCCAGCTGAGCCCCGGTGTCTCACTTTCACTCGAGTACTGTACTCTGTACTCTACACACTGTACTCTGTACTCTATACACTGTACTCTATACACTGTGGGGCCACATCACACAATACAGTTCCTCCAGGGTTGTGTAAGGGTGCGCCTCCTTCCCTTCAGAGAAGGTCTTCACCCTGGCACATTTGTAGACAAATTTTCTCACTCATTATAAAGTATTTTAGGGGAATTGTTTAAGCGTTCTTTGTCGCGATTTAAGGACTTTCTAAGAGTAAAGTGTCTGATGTTTTAGGTATTTCAAGAACATGTATGTGAGAACAACTTTCACACCATTTGGAATATTCTTGAGATAGTTGGAATATTTTGGCAAGTTTCGAGTCTCGCACATCTCCATGATTTTTTTTGGTGGGAGGGGGGAGGGGAGAGGGGGGGGGAATTTCTTGTTTGCAGTATAATACATTTCAAGACTTTAAACTCTGCGTATCCGATATAAAGTTTTCTTGAGAGTACGGCAAGATATTTTAAGCCATTTCAGGGAATCTTGTTAGTCGTGTTAAGATTTTTTAAAAATATCTGATCGAGCTCGTAAAGCGTAAAGGAAATTATTATTAATTTTTTTGTTTAGAAAATTATCTAAATTGGAACATGTTTCGTGGAACTTACATAGCAAAAATTAAATGTTGTTTAGAGAGCTGGGAGGAGTTTAAGGAGCTGTTCAAGCGTAAAGTGACGCAGTTTAGGGAGCTGTTCAAGCGTAAAGTGACGCAGTTTAGGGAGCTGTTCAAGCCTAAAGTGACGCAGTTTAGGGAGCTGTTCAAGCGTAAAGTGACGCAGTTTAGGGAGCTGTTCAAGCGTAAAGTGAGGCAGTTTAGGGAGCTGTTCAAGCGTAAAGTGACGCAGTTTAGGGAGCTGTTCAAGCGTAAAGTGACGCAGTTTAGGGAGCTGTTCAAGCGTAAAGTGACGCAGTTTAGGGAGCTGTTCAAGCGTAAAGTGACGCAGTTTAGGGAGCTGTTCAAGCGTAAAGTGAGGCAGTTTAGGGAGCTGTTCAAGCGTAAAGTGACACAGTTTAGGGAGCTGTTCAAGCCTAAAGTGACACAGTTTAGGGAGGACGGAGAATGTTATTCAAAACTTTGTATAAAACTTCTCAAGATTAATCAAATTTGGATGACTTTCACTATCTGGCGCATTTGTATGGACTTGTGGACCACATCACTCTCTCTCTCTCTCTCTGTCTCTCTCTCTCTCTCTCTCTCTCTGTCTCTCTCTCTCTGTCTCTCTCTCTCTCTCTGTCTCTCTCTCTGTCTCTCTCTCTCTCTCTGTCTCTCTGTCTCTCTCTCTCTCTCTCTCTGTCTCTCTCTCTGTCTCTCTCTGTCTCTCTCTCTCTGTCTCTCTCTGTCTCTCTCTCTCTGTCTCTCTCTCTCTCTCTCTCTCTCTCTCTCTCTCTCTCTCTCTCTCTCTCTCTCTCTCTCTCTCTCTCTCTCTCTCTCTCTCTGTCACTCTCTCTCTGTCTCTCTCTGTCTCTCTCTCTCTCTCTCTCTCTCTCTCTCTCTCTCTCTCTCTCTCTCTCTCTCTCTCTCTCTCTCTCTCTCTCTCTCTCTCTCTCTCTCTCTCTGTCACTCTCTCTGTCTGTCACTCTCTGTCACTCTGTCTGTCTCTCTCTCTGTCTGTCTGTCTCTCTGTCTGTCTCTCTCTCTGTCTGTCTCTCTCTCTGTCTCTCTCTGTCTGTCTCTCTCTCTCTGTCTCTGTCTCTCTCTCTCTCTCTGTCTCCTCTCTCTCTCTCTCTCTCTCTCTCTCTCTCTCTCTCTCTCTCTCTCTCTCTCTCTCTCTCTCTCTCTCTCTCTCTCTCTACTATCTCCCCCTCCCTACTATCTCCCCCTCCCTACTCTCTCTCCCTAAAAATTTGTATTCCAGTATGTATACCAATATCATGGCGGGAGTCTACATATGATCCAGTATGTATACCAATATATATACTAGTATGTATACCGATATATATTTACTAGTATGTATACCAATATGTATGCCAGTATGTATACCCATAAATATATGGATTCGCAGGGTTTGTGTGATGTACATGTGTACAAGAGAGATGTCTGCCGGTGACGTCAGAGTATGAGAGATGTCTGCCGGTGACGTCAGAGTATGAGAGATGTCAGCCGGATCGTCAGAGTATGAGTGATGTCAGCTGGTGACGTCAGAGTATGAGTGATGTCAGCTGGTGACGTCACGTATATACAAGTATTTTCTCACGTTCCCCTGAGCGAACCTTTATTACTTTCACATTACTAAGAAATCTGGAGAAAGGTTCAGCTCATATTTACATGTTTTAAATATTTTAAACTTTCGTCATTAGTGAAACTTTATTTTTGTTAATAACTTTCACGACAATCACGGAAATGTTGAGTTTATTCTGCGATTTTTTTTTTGTTTTTTTTATTTGCAGTCAAAAGTTTTAATTACGGCCATGAGGAGAGAGGTTAATACTGCAGGTCTTGATGGACAGTCCGCGTGAATATGTTGGTATTAATGTCCTCATAAATGTGTTGGTATTAATGTCCTCATAAATGTGTTGGTATTAATGTTCTCATAAATGTGTTGGTATTAATGTCCTCATAAATGTGTTGGTATTAATGTTCTCATAAATGTGTTGGTATTAATGTCCTCATAAATGTGTTGGTATTAATGAGGGAGACTGGACACTATACACACATGGAGGGGAGGGGAGTATGGGTTCATTCACACGTTTTTAAGGGAGATATATAGAGCTTAATTCGTTTTGTTATGGCAAATCAGCTGGTGCCCGGCCTGGTGTGTGTGTGACGACACACCTGGTGCCCGGCCTGGTGTGTGTGACGACACACCTGGTGCCCGGCCTGGTGTGTGTGACGACACACCTGGTGCCCGGCCTGGTGTTGTGTGACGACACACCTGGTGCCCGGCCTGATGTGTGTGACGACACACCTGGTGCCTCACCTGGTGTCGAGAAGTGTGAGAGCCTCACCTGGTGTCGAGAAGTGTGAGAGCCTCACCTGGTGTCGAGAAGTGTGAGAGCCTCACCTGGTGTCCAGAAGTGTGAGAGCCTCACCTGGTGTCCAGAAGTGTGAGAGCCTCACCTGGTGTCCAGAAGTGTGAGAGCCTCACCTGGTGTCCAGAAGTGTGAGAGCCTCACCTGGTGTCCAGAAGTGTGAGAGCCTCACCTGGTGTCCAGAAGTGTGAGAGCCTCACCTGGTGACCAGAAGTGTGAGAGCCTCACCTGGTGTCCAGAAGTGTGAGAGCCTCCCCTGGTGTCCAGAAGTGTGAGAGCCTCCCCTGGTGTCCAGAAGTGTGAGAGCCTCACCTGGTGTCCAGAAGTGTGAGAGCCTCACCTGGTGTCCAGAAGTGTGAGAGCCTCGCAGGACACGGAGCGAACTCTTGAAAGTCCTCCTATGGTTCTCCGCCTCTCTCGCTTCCTCCTCCTCTCCTCCGCTGCTGATGGGGATCCTCCTGGCCGGCCTCGTCCTCCTCCAGCGCCGTCGCTGCCGTCAGGAGACGCAGGAGCAGACCGCCCTGGAAGAAAAACAACAGCTCAGCTGATCATAATTCACCCGCCAGACAGAAAGAGCTGAAGAAAAGTCTGGTCCGAGTTTTGGGAAGTTGCCTCTCTGTCCGCTGCCGCTGGTCACGGCTTGCTGGCCGTGTCAACTCACTGGTGGCGGTGTTGTGTGGCACTCAAGCGGTGTCGTGTGGCACTCGGGGTGTCGTGTGGCACTCGTGGTGTCGTGTGGCTCTCAAGTGGTGTCGTGTGGCACTCGGGGTGTCGTGTGGCACTCGGGGTGTCGTGTGGCACTCAAATGGTGTCGTGAAGCACTCATGTAGTTTCGTGTGGCACTCAAGCGGTGTCGTGTGGCACTTAAGCGGGGTCGTGTGGCTCTCAAATGGTGTCGTGAAGCACTCAAGTAGTTTCGTGTGGCACTCAAGCGGTGTCGTGTGGCACTTAAGCGGGGTCATGTGGCACTCAAATGGTGTCGTGAAGCTCTCAAGCGGTGTCGTGTGGCACTTGTTCCTGCTTCAAGTGCCAGTGTGTGGTGTGTTCCTCGCCACACACTGTACCTCACTACACATACTGTACCTCACTACACACACTGTACCTCACTACACACACTGTACCTCACTACACACACTGTACCTCACTACACACATCGTACCTCACCACACACACTGTACCTCACCACACACACACACACTGTACCTCACTACACACACTGTACCTCACTACACACACACACTGTACCTCACCACACACACTGTACCTCACCACACACTGTACCTCGCCACACACACTGTACCTCACCACACACACTGTACCTCACCACACACACACTGTACCTCACCACACACACACTGTACCTCACCACACACACTGTACCTCACCCCACACACTGTACCTCACCACACACACACTGTACCTCACCACACACACACCTCACCACACACACTGTACCTCACCACACACACACTGTACCTCACCACACACACACTGTACCTCACACCTCACCACACACACACTGTACCTCACCACACACACACTGTACCTCACCACACACACTGTACCTCACCACACACACACTGTACCTCACCACACACACACTGTACCTCACCACACACACACTGTACCTCACCACACACACACACTGTACCTCACCACACACACACTGTACCTCACCACACACACACTGTACCTCACCACACACACTGTACCTCACACACACTGTACCTTACCTCACACACACACACACACTGTACCTCACCACACACACACCTCACCACACACACACTGTACCTCACCACACACACACTGTACCTCACCACACACACTGTACCTGTACCTCACCACACACACACTGTACCTCACCACACACACACTGTACCTCACCACACACACACTGTACCTCACACACTGTACACACACACACTGTACCTCACCACACACACACTGTACCTCACCACACACACACTGTACCTCACCACACACACTGTACCTCACCACACACTGTACCTTACCCCACACACTGTACCTCGCCACACACACTGTACCTCACCACACACACTGTACCTCACCACACACACACTGTACCTCACCACACACACACTGTACCTCACCACACACACACTGTACCTCACCACACACACTGTACCTCAACACACACACTGTACCTCACCACACACACACACTGTACCTCACCACCACACACACACACACTGTACCTCACCACACACACACACTGTACCTCACCACACACACACTGTACCTCACCACACACACACTGTACCTCACCACACACACACTGTACCTCACCACACACACACTGTACCTCACCACACACACACTGTACCTCACCACACACACTGTACCTCACCACACACACACACTGTACCTCACCACACACACACTGTACCTCACCACACACACACTGTACCTCACCACACACACACTGTACCTCACCACACACACACACTGTACCTCACCACACACACACACTGTACCTCACCACACACACACTGTACCTCACCACACACACACTGTACCTCACCACACACACACTGTACCTCACCACACACACACTGTACCTCACCACACACACACTGTACCTCACCACACACACACTGTACCAAATAAACAAGTTACGAACCTGTAACTTCTGGTTTATGTTTAGAACTAAGAAACTAACGACTGGTATCCTTCCACGGGCTAACGACCCTCATGTCGTTCCAAGCACTAACGACCCGGGTGTCGTTCCAAATGATAACGACTCGGGATCATGCAAAAACAAATTTTTACCACCATTGACTGACCATTCTCACTGTCGTCCTCGTCGTCGTCGTCTTCGAGGAGGGGCTCGGGGTCGAGGACTACTTCAGCGTTGTCGTCTTCCTCGACGATGACCTCGAGGCTGACCCCTCGACGCATTCGACACCTGCCCAGCATCCTCGCACCTGTTGTAAGAACAACACTTGTTATTAGAGGGTGCAGATGGTCACGTGATACTTGGGAAAGGGGTGGTTTCTAGGTGGAATTATAGGTGGTACTCAAGTAGTTTTAGAATTTCATATTGCATCTATTTAAGAATAATTCACTGTTTTAATCTAACCTAACCAAACGTAACCTTAACCAAACCTAAACCTAACTTATTGACACCTAAACCAAATCTCACCTAGTCTAACCCAATCTAACCAAAACTAACTTAACCTAATCTAACCTTGACCTAATTTAACAATGGATAGAGAGTAGATGAAGAGTATCGTAGAGTAGTACAAATTAAGTAGTGGCTTTGAAGTGATGACTAGGAAGGCAGGTTGTTATCAGGGTATACCAACCTCAAAGGTGTTACAAACCTGCTTAGTTACTTAAATAATTTTCAGAAAATGAACCGGTTTTGAACAATCATGAACAGTGCTCTTGAACAAATTGTTCGTTTCTATAGAACTGAGGGTGAGGCAGTTGGGGCTGACTAAAGTGGCCATCCTTAGTAAAACGATCAAGACAACCTCAAGAATGAACCTAGTTAGTGTTTAACAAGTCTCTTCCACTTAATGGGTAACCAATAGTTTCGAATGGGCATATATGTTATGCCTACGGCCATTTTGTTGAAACAATTGTGATTGAACGACTAGTTTAGAACAGGTCATGCTTGGTCCTATTCTAAAATGGGTTGAGTTTTTTCTCTACAGGAAGTCTCTAGACTTTCTTAAGTATTAAGGAACAAGTCTTGGGTATATGTACAACCCGTCCTCGACTCAAGTCCATTACATCCAGCGGTCGACCCCACAGACGCATTCATAAACTTTAACATGCTGTTCATTCAAAACGGGAATTTTCTCAAGTATAAATTAATATTATAATATATTAGCATATTGTGCATATATAGGCATAGGATAGGTTAGGTTAGGTGTTTAGGTTCTGTTGGTGATTATTTGTATTTGTAGTACGTGGGTGAAGCATTTATAGCGTTGTGATTCGAACAAAATTCGTCAGTGAAGCACTTGTTCCGGATATGTTCGAACGTCAGCAGTTGTGAGTCGTGTGTAAACCGCTTTTCATTCATAAACAGGGGGTTTGGCGGGAGCATGGAATCACTTTTGGGTCTTTGGAGGACGGGCTGATATGTACGGTGGCTGAGGGGGGGGGGCGTGTTCAGTTACTAACTTGAGGGGGTACGCCATGAACTATATAGTACTGGGAAGGGGTTAGGAAAAGGATTAGGAATGGTACGGAGGGGCAGGAATGGTGCCCAACCTCGTGGACGGTCGGGGATTGAAGTGCATGAAGCGAGACCGTCGCTCTACCGTCCAGCCCAAGTGCTTGGGCAATGATTGGTGGAGACAACATGTGTTTGTCCGGTAGATTCCGCAAGTACTTTGGCCCGCGGTTCATTAACTGCCTTAATATGTGATAGATAGATAGAATATGTGATACTACCTCGCGGCAGTGGTGGCTCGTCCATAGGAGCTGGAGTCCCGCCAGACATTACCAGGTGCATAACTCCATCAACCCAACTTGTCCTCCTACAAAGAACGTCTCATTTCAAGCGAATGCGTTACGTACGGCCTGAAATTGTCGTACTAGAAAATGGAAGCGGCTCGCGAAAGTGACGTACTGTTCCGTTTTCTGTTTTGGGTCCTCTGGTAGATTAGGAAAGGACACTTTAAATGTATCGTTTTCTTGACGTTGGAAAACCTTTGGAGGTCGAGCTGATCAACCTCACACTAGAACAATAAGCAACAGCTGTATTATAACAAAACGTCCTTGTACGTTATTTTCACTGTATTTATAAATGAATTTTCAAATTTTTCATTAAAACAGGACAAAAATAAAGATTTCATGCTGTACGATAGTGTAGGATTTATCACTGCTGTCGAAATAATGAGAAGTTTGCTTCCTTAGCAATAATTTTACTGTTAATCACATTTGTTTTACTAAAAGATTTATTGCTGTGTACTGTCTCTATAGAATCAATAATTACTCCTTTCAGGCGTGTCGCTTTGATATCTGAGCAGTTGTATACAATTTTAGTATGATTAAAATCTCAACAATGTTAAGCAATGGCATTTGTCTTATCAAATTGTGTTACTGCTTTCTTGTGTTCATTAACTCTCAGTAAACCACGAGGTTTTATTTCGTGGTTTATTGAAAAAGAGTTTTTATGATTTTCAGTACCTGGTTGATGGGGTTCTGGGAGTTCTACTCCCCAAGCCCGGCCCGAGGCCAGGCTTGACTTGTGAGAGTTTGGTCCACCAGGCTGTTGCTTGGAGCGGCCCGCAGGCCCACATACCCACCACAGCCCGATTGGTCCGGAACGTCTTTTATAAAAGTCTAGTTTTCTCTTGAAGATGTCCACAGTTGTTCTTATATTATAAGAACATATTATTTCTTATGCTTGCTGGGTGGATGTTGAACAACCGTGGACCTCTGATGTTTATACAGTGCTCTCTGATTGTG